CCCGCGACGCCCTGGCCAAGGGGCTCTACGCCCGCGTCTTCGACTTCCTCGTGGAGGTGCGTGGCCCTGGGGTGGGCTGGGCTGAGCGCGGCCGCGGCGCGGAGGGGATGCTCGCCAGTACGTCCCCAGTGAAGGCGGCTCGGCCCAGTCTGTCAACCGGGCGATGCAGAAGCCGTATGAGGAGTACAGCATCGGGGTGCTGGACATCTACGGCTTCGAAATATTCCAGGTTTGTGTTGCTTTGGTGGAGGAGCCCAGGTGGGGAATGTCCTTCCTCGCTTCTGCAGCGAGGAGGGTGGCCAGAGCAGGGGACCGTTGGCAGACCACAACCCCAAGAAGGGCCCCTGGAGCAGCACCCAAAGGTGCTGGTCTTTGGGGTCTCCTCGATGGAGTGAGAAGAGCAGAAGCCAACTTGGCCCCATCTTCTCTTTCGTCTTGTGTCCTTTTGTAGAAAAACGGCTTTGAGCAATTCTGCATAAACTTTGTGAACGAGAAGCTGCAGCAGATCTTCATCGAGCTGACCCTGAAGGCAGAGCAGGTATGGGGGGGCTGGGGGGGCTGCACCAACACCCCGATTCCTGCACCCTGCAGCACCACGGCCGGAGCTGGGGGGCTGTGGGAGGTCCACCCAGCTCTCCCTGCGCTTCCCCAGGAGGAATACGTGCAGGAGGGGATCAAGTGGACCCAGATCCAATATTTCAACAACAAGGTGGTGTGCGACCTGATAGAGAACAAGCTGGTGAGTGGGGTGCTCTCCTCCGGGGGAGGGTCTCTTGGGGCGTGGCAGCACCCAAGGAGGGGGGTGTCGCATGGGCTGGGTGCTGTCGGGGACGGGTGGCAGAAGCTGGTCCTGCCCGGGAGCATCCGAAGCTGTGGATGCCCCATCCCTGGAGGGGTTCAAGGCCAGGCTGGATGAGGCTTTGAGCAACCTGGGCTAGCAGGAGGTGTCCCTGCCCATGGCAGGGGGTGGCACTGGGTGGGCTTTGAGGTCCCTTCCCACCCAAACCATTCCATGAGTCTACGATATGATTCTATGAACCTAAGCTGTGGTTCAGCATTGCAGCAGCTTCGACCAGCGCAGGGCACTTGAGCCCAGCCAGCTGCAGGATTGAGCTTTTGGACACCCAATGGCTTCGCTCTCCCTCTGCCAGAACCCCCCCGGCATCATGAGTGTCCTGGACGACGTCTGTGCCACCATGCACGCCACGGGCGAGGGCGCGGACCAGACCCTGCTGCAGAAGCTGCAGGCGGCCG